CACATCTCTAATTTGGGGGAAAATTTAGATAAATGTGCTAGATATGAAAAGTTCTTTAATTTAGAAGGAACTTCAGTTACAGATGCTCAGGTGATGTTAGTGGCTTAGAGCCTTGATTCTGCCTTTCACCAGTTCAGAACTTCCTGTAACAGAGCTGGGGATTTCAGCATGCAAAGACAAAGTGGCTGTGTATGGTTGAGTCACGTTCCCTATTTATTACCATGCCTTTACTTCTATATTATATTTTTTTATGAGTTAATGTACTAGCAATTTTCATGTTTTTAAATGTGGCAACAAGTACAATGAATAGGGCCATGCTTGCAGAAACAAGGATTTGATTTATTTCATGTGTGTTTCTGTGCAGGGCTCTCTGTGACACAAAGGACTGTGGAAAGCTTTCAAAGGAACAGTTTGCTTTGGCTTTCTATTTAATTAATCAGAAGTTAACAAAAGGCATTGATCCACCTCAGGCTCTGACTCCAGAAATGATTCCACCTTCAGACAGAGGTGTCACTTTACAGAAGGTAAGGATGGACTTGGCATTTTGATATATATCTTAAAGAGTGTTAATTTCAAAGGCTGCACAAGAAGCACCTCAAGTACTGACAATACCTTAAATTTATCATAATACCATGAAGAAAACAAGTCTTAGGTGAAGAGAATCGACAAAAAATTGTTCCATGCATGTTTTGAAATGAAGCTATCATTTATTGCACCAGCCAACCAAGCAGAGAGATCTTATGTTGAGAAAGCATTATTTTCTGTTTTTAGAGAATAATCCTTCTACTGGTTATCTAAAGAAATTTTATTTTTCATCTGAATAACATTCTCAAGTTCAATGTTTTTCTCTTAATGTAGTCACAGTTACCTCTTTTACACACAGCTCTTTTAAGAAGTCTGGATCCAATGTGAACTAAAGAAAGTTTAGGATTTTATATTTAAGCTTTTTGTTAAAAGCAAATGGTCCTCCATTTATGCTTCACAGATAGTTTAAATGTCTTCATAGTCTGTTGATCACCATCTATCTTAATCCAGTAGTAGGCTGTACCCCCAGCAGTTCAAGTTGTATTTACCGCAATGATAGAGGTCATCACAAATTCTTTCTTGTTTTACACATCTTCAAGTCTGATGTGAGTTACCTTTTCTTGGTTGTGCAAAACATTGACTGAATTCTACAGCTTTCCTGAACAGAATGAAAAATTCGCACTTGGAAAAATGAAACTCAAAATTTGGCACTACTTTTGAGTTTCTGTAACTGGTATCTAATTTCTTTTTACATTCTGTTTTTAAAAAGTAATTGCTTTATTTGCAACTCTACTAATCTTTTTTGTATGTTTGCTTTCCTTTCTATGTCTCTTTTCTAGTTTGGACTGTTTTTTCCATTCTGCACCACTCTGCTTTTCATCCTTATTATTCTGTCAGTTTGTTAACTCTGCTTTCTCAAGGTTAGAGAATCTTTGCTTTTCTAATATTTACTGTCTGTCGATTTAATAATGAACATCTTTCTAAGACTCTTACATAATCATTGAAATAGCACAGTGCTTCTGAAGTGTCACAGTATGTTGCGATCGCAAATTATTGCTAATTTCTGGTGTTGTTCATCTGGAAGAACTCCGAGGTTCTTCCTTGAACTGAGACCTCTGTGGCTGTTACCTCTTGGTAATATGCACTGCTTAAGCTTAAAAGAGAAAATGCTGTGTCTTATCTTGTTGAAATTCCTGGGGAAGGGGGGACAGAGTAGTAGCCCAGTATGACAGTTGACAGTTATTAGACCTAGTACCCATGGGTTACTGATTATGTTGCAGAAAACTTAGTGATTAGAACACATTAGATGAGGTCAGTATTTGTTACTGCTGTTCTGTGTGTGTAAATTGTTTCTATAGAACTCTCAAAGACATCGGTGTGATGTGGGTTTTTTTGTGTTACTAACATAAATAATAAGAATATGGTGAAAGAAGATAAGCTAGCTTTTAGTTAGCTCTCTAAATCCTTACCAGGAACTTATTTTACTAGATTGAGCTGAAGCTTCATCTTACTTACATGGAGCTTTTTCAAAAGGGATGTTGTCTTGCTGATACAAAAGAATCAAGACGTCCAAGATTATTACACAAGAATTGAACCCAAAGGGTAAGAGCAGCAGGCAGAAATAGATTTTTGCTGGTTTTCCGGAAGTGGCGTCACTTATATCATAAAAAGCAAATTAGGCTTCATCATCTTAATAGAGCAATGTAAAGGTAGTAGCAGAAATGCCAGCAAGTGTAATGGTAATCCGTTATGTTTTTAGAGGAGGAAAAATTAACTTGTGATCCTTCTTAACGGGTGTTCAGAAGGCACAGGTATGTATATTGCTGTTACCTAATGTTTGGTTCCTTACAGAATTTAATTGCTATGGCAGTGTAACTTTTATTTCAGTGTTGAGGTCTGAATGCAGATCCCATGACTGGCATAGAGCAGCAGTCTAGTACTTGTTGCTGTGTTTGTTTGCCTGGAGCTGTTTGTAGTCACCAAATTGCACGTGCACTACCAGCCATAAAATTTAAACTTACATGCAAGGTCCTGTTGGGGAGTTTTGATGGGAATTTACTGTCGTTACTAAGTGTTGTGTGCATGCCTGTTGCAGTGGGCAGCAAATAATTCTAACTTTTGTTAACTTGTATATTGAAGCTAAAAATGTTGGCTTTTATGTGTTCCCCCCCACCAGTTCTCCTGAATTACTGAAAATAACATTTAACTATGTTTTGTTCAAGTTTGATGCTGATGTTAGTTTGCAGAATTTAACTTATGAGAGAAGGAAGCTTGGAAAGAATTTGTTCTTGTAGCTAATAGCTCCCTGGTTTCCTTCTGTCCCCTTCCTAGGAGAAGTAAAAAAATTTCTCCTTGGAACACTATGAGCAACTCAGCAAAACTCCCATGTAATTTCTTTAGAACATGGTTGAACTTCCTGGCTGTTTTGCCAGTTTGAGAAGCTGTACACTAACCAGTTCAAGAGCAGCTGTATGTTGTTTTTTTTTATTCTCAGTTCATACCACTTGTTCTAGTAAAATATGCGTGAGTAACCTATGGTGCTGCTGAATAATATTCTCTGTCACAATGTGCTCAGATTTACTGTTTAGGTCTTCTCTTGTTATTTTATTCATTGTATAAGCTTGAATAAACACATAATTAATAGCTCCTTGATTTATCTTTAGAGAAACCTCAGACTTTTGTGCTATTTTGAGCGTATCGCTTGCCTTTTTAAATTATATGTTTATACTTTTCCTCTGAACTTGTGTGTTTGTCCTGGATGATCTTATTCAAGACTTAAAGGAACCAATGTATTATTAATAGCGCCTTGATTTATCTTTAGAGAAACCTCAGCACTCGAAGACTTTTGTGCTATTTTGAGCGTATCGCTTGCCTTTTTAAATTATATGTTTATACTTTTCCTCTGAACTTGTGTGTTTGTCCTGGATGATCTTATTCAAGACTTAAAGGAACCAATGTATTTATAGAAGGTAGTTACAGTGACTGTGGCCTCCTCAGCATGTTTGTGTCATGATAAGGCACAGTAGAACAATTACAGCATTTACTGATTTTGCTCTCAAGTCATTTATGTGTACTTTTTTGGAACAAATAATTTAGATTACAGTCATTGTCTTACATTAAGTAAATGGAAACTCATGGGTATAACTTACCTATGACTGCACATTATCAAAGTTTCATGCAGTACTCTTGGATGTTCATGTGAAACTAGCTTCATATCACTTAAAGTATTGCAAATAAGTGTCTATACTCTGTAACAGGAGGATCACCATGGTGAAGAAATATGAATATGAAGGTAGTAAACAAAGCAAACCACCCTTAAATGAATGCTAGGAAGCCAGCTAACTACTAACTGTAAGAAATCTCATTTTAGAACTAGATTTTTTTTTTTTTTGTATGATCAGATGCTCCTGTGCTTTTATGGAAGATGTCCTCAAGAATTTACAGGAGACAAACTCTGAATTACTAGATGCATTGGATGTATGTTGTGTTCCGTTAATATAACATCTGGACTTGGGGTTATCAACATTTGAAGATTTGAAATACAATGCAGCCAACAGTTGTTAAAAGAGCATAGCTCATGCTGTCGCAAAAAGCAAAGGGAATATAGTTGTTGGACAGCATAAGTGATAAACTAACAGTATTTATTTTTTTATTTTTCAGAGTACTCAAGGACTGAATTCAGTAGCAGATTTTTCTGCAATTAAAGAACTTGATACATTAAACAATGAAATAGTAGACCTGCAAAGGTAGGTAAAGGAGGAATAGTCATAGTTGTCTTACAGTTGTGCTACTTACTGTTTTTTTTTTAAAAAAAGAATTCAGTGCGTAAGAGAAAACCAGGTGGTAATAGTCTGCTTTGCTAAAGTAAATGGTTAGCATGACTGTAAAAATGTTTAACACTTCTACTACTTTTTTGCTCAAGTGAGTGTGTTTACTAACAGTGAGACTGTGAGAGGTCTGTCCATTGTGCCTTCTGGGTGTGTTTCAGAGAGCTGCACATTTTAGCATCCTGAGATGGAAATATCCTATCTTCTTCATCTTTATTGGCAGATGAGAACGGAGCAGATCTTTGGGATGCTGGAACCGTGATGTAAATTGGTATTAGTTGTCTTTTATTTTTAGAGACAACTCTAAGGGCTTTTTTCTAGTGGCAGTGAGGAAGTGAGTTGGGAAAGATCAAAAAGTATGTAGGGTAGAGAGTGGGAAGATGACAGTTTGTATGTGGGGAGGAATAACACCAAGCACCAGTACAGATTAGGGGATGTCCTGCAAAAAGCAGCCCTGTGGAGAAAGACCTGGGAGTCCTAGTGCACAGTGAGTTGTCCATGGGACAGCACTGTGCCCTTGTGGCCAAGAGGGCTAATGGGATCCTGGGGTGCATGAAGAAAAGTGTGTCCAGCAGGTCTAGGGAGGTTCTCTTCCCCCTCTATTCTGCCCTGGTGAGACCACACCTAGAATACTCCATCCGATTTTGGGCTCCCCAATTCAGAGACAGGGACCTACTGGAGAGAGTCCAATGGAGAGCTACGAGGATGATTAAGGAACTTCCTGCGAAGAGACACTGAGAGAACTGGGGCTGTTTAGTCTTGAAAAGAGAAGGCTGAGAGGGGATCTTATTAATGTATATAAATATCAGAAGTGGATGTCAAGAGGAAGGGTGCAGTCTCTTTTTAGTTGCGCCCAGTAATAGGAAAAGGAATAATGGGTATAAGCTAGAGCATAGGAAGTTCCACCTCAACATGAGGAGAAACTTCTTTACTGTGAGGGTGATGGAGCCCTGGCACAGGTTGCCCAGAGAGGGTGTGGAGTCTCCTTCCCTGGAGACTTTCACAACCCACCTGGACATGTTCCTGTGTGACCTGCTCTGGGTGATCGTGCTCTGGCAGGGGAGTTGGACTTGATGATCCCCAGAGGTCACTTCCAACCCCAAGCATTCTATATGATTCTTTGATTCGTGCAAGGGTTTTGATGGTGGTAGAAATGGACATGCTTCTCTTCTGTTTAATAAAATAAACTATTGCACTGAGAATTTTTTTTTTTCATTTGAGGTTTGCAGACCCTTGGGTTCCATTAATTATTTCTAAGGTTATTAAGAAGATGGCTTCAAGTGACTAAGAAAATCGAGTTCATTGAAAAGTCTCTGTCATATTCTCAAGACATAGCAGATAGTTTTCTTCAGTGATTTTTTTTAATATATATACTATCATAAATCTGCTGAAAATTCTATTAAGAACAGCTAATTCTACTATTTTATAAGTGAGGTTCTTTGTCATAATGAAATCTGCCTGTTTTATTCATGTCACTTCCAGGAATGAATTAATTTGGCAGTGTTTCAAATGTTTCAGTGTTTCAAGCGCAGTCTGTTTCCTAAATACGTAAATACGTCTCTTCAGTTGCTTGTTCTCCCTCTTATTACTCCCATTGCCTCCTCTCTTCTCCCTGCTCTGTCTTTCTCAGTTAGGTTGTATCAGTTGCTTTTTTGGACTCTCACATTTATTAACCTGAAATATGATTTACAACCCATGTATATTTGCTGTTAGTATCTTAGAAGGAAATAAATTGTTCACTCATTTTTAGATGAGATTGGTTTTCAGTAGGTGGACTTGCAGCCTAACATGCAAGCCAGTCTGTTAATGTCTTGTTTTCTTGTCTTACTGTGAGGTAAGGAACCATGGCATTTGGAAAGTCATTGCTTCCCTTTCTTCAGTGGTAAATATACTCAGACAATTATTTAAGACATATTTGAATGCTGTTAGATTGTTGAAAATATGTTGGGGCAACTATTAGTATGTACTTATTTATTTACTTTGGTGTAATTTAGAGGTTCAGAACAGAACTGGATGAACAGCCAGAGGCTTAAGCCTGTTTTGACAAACTGAAGTGTAGTAGTGAGAGCAACTAGCAAACTTTTAATGTCATAGAGTCATGGCTCAAGTAAAACTTTTTCATTTTTATTTTTTCCAAGAAAATTAATTCTTTGATTACTTGAAAATCCTTTAACTGCTATGTAAGAGTTATGCTGGTGGCAGAGTCAGTGTTCCTTTTCCGTACCTTCCCGAAGCACAGACGGCAGTGTTAGGCAACAGATTAATCTTTGTGGATTAATCTTTGTAGGAAGCTATTTCATCTTTAGCAAATCCACATTTCTGTTCTAACTGGGAAGTATGCTTTCAGTCTTGGTAGTCATTTAAAATGTAATTTAAACTTATTTCTGTTCATTATTAAACAAAATATATTGTTCAGCTGTTGAACTAAATATGTAATAATTCTAGTCCCTGATTCTGTTGAGAAATATCCCTGAGAGCTGTGTATTTGAGACCCAGTAATAGAAATTGAACCTATTTCTGAAGGGCGCTTAAAAATAAAACAAAATAAAACAAAGAGGCAGCAGAGGAAATAAGGATGACAATGTGTGGAAGACACGGCTTTTTGAGAGACTGAGCGAAGAATACAGAGGTGATGTGTGTGGGAGATTTCTGGTAGACAATAGCTTTTTCACCTAATTCAATAAAAACAATGGTCAGGAAGGTGGAAGTTGAGGATCAGATGAAGAATAAAATGTAGAGCACTTATTAGCGAGCATGATTCCCCTCTGATAGGGGGCATGATTGTCTAGGGATGTCATAGGATCTGTATCATTCTGATCCTGTCAGCATTGCTGCCTGTAAATTCTGGTTTAGTTGCTCTCTATTTTTGGAAAGCTATTTGAAGCTTTTTTGATCAGCGTTGTGGGAAGCTAGACCAGATGTTCTTAATATTCTTTTTTTGAGCTATGAAACCTTTTCTGTTTCCCAACAAGCCCTGCTTTGCTTTCGTGCATTCAAAGCTACCTATGGGCCACAAATCAGTGGAATTTCTTCAAGCTTTGCTAATGCTGCATTCCTCTCTAAGTGTGTTAAGTAGTTAAGCTTAATTTAGTATATCTCACCAGAGGTGCCATCCTTCACATATGTTGGAAAGCAGCAGTAATATTGTCCTGAATATAAATCAGGTTACAAGGACCATAAAGCTGATTAGTCTCTCAAAAGTAAGGAAACGCAAAACATCCCCAGAAAAACAGGGCACCCTCTCCCTGCCATACACTTGCATCAAGGCTTTGTTTCAGAGTTCAGAGATCTACAGCTTCTTAGCAAAGCAATGGTAAGAATTTTAATGTAGGCTAGATTATTTCTTCTAACCTTTGAGTTGGAAGTAACTGAGCTGTTGCAGCTGAAAAGGTTGGGGGAAACAAAGGGGAGAAAAGACAAGGCAATTGCCAAACTGAAGTACTACTACATTAGGAATTCCCAAAATTATAAATGCATGAAAACAAGAAATGTTGGGCAGCTGTGAGTGTAGATAATGCTGCCAGCTCTCTGAGTGTCACCTGTCACTTGTTATGGAAAAGAGCTCTTGATTTTTTGCTTTTGTAACTAAGTGCCTCTAAGTGTTGGCCGTGGAGAAACCTGGCCAGGCTTGGTTTGTGTTTGGCTTAAAAGCCTCTGCTGACGTGGGGACTCTGCAGTTGTCAGCAATAACAAATATTTGCGACATGCAGGCTCCTGTTTATAAATTACTTTATTTCCAAATTAATATAAAATCTGTAGGTTTACTAAGATTGTAAATCATGAGATATCTGCATTGGAGAAACTATCTATTCATTTGTTGGGTTTTTTTAAATGCTTTTAGATCCTTTGATAGGAGGTTCTTGTGACCTGACTACTATTAAAGACTGCTATTAAAATACACAGGGAAGTTGTATTGCTTTCATAAATTGACTTGAATTGGTACAAGTGTCCTGTATTGGCAAGATCACAATTCTTTTTGCATTGTTTTTCTGGTTGTGGGTTTTTTGTTGGGTTGTTTTTTTTTTTCAAGTGCTGATATGGTAAAGGACATTATGATCCAGGAAATCTCTCCTATCCAGTAAATCAATTTTTTTTGCTTGTTTTTGGTTCTTTCAGTTGCTGAGCATTCCTACAGGGGCATACCAGATAGTTTGTAAAAGAAATGGAGGCATTCAGAAGAATTAGTGAATTAAGTAGGTCTGTTGTCTTTTTTCTGAAACAAAGACGCATTACTGGGAGGGAGGAGGGGATGTGTTCTGTGTAGACTGTATCCACTCAGCTTGTTTTCTTTTGCCTGAGACTGCTGCCTAAGCTTTTCTTGTTCTGCCTGACAGTACTTCTTTCACTTGATTTTTTCCAATTCATTGTTTGTGTTGTGATTTGGCCAGTGTGAGTCGCCTGTGGGTGGGTATTGTCTTGTTGCTTGCTTTAGCATAGTCCACGTACCTGGCATCTGTTGAAATCTGAAGGAAATTGTCTTCTTCTCTGACAGTCTCCTGGGCATATCAGTGACAGCAGCGTGGAAAGGCTGTACCTTAAAGCACACGTACCTGCTTGCATTTCTATCTCCTGCTCAGTTTTCGTACCCGAGCAGGAAGAATAACAAGTGTTTGTTTACCTCGTCAATGATTCTCTTATCTTCAGTCAGGAATTATATGCCTGGGTGTTTGCTCTGCTTGATGCCTGTCCGAGGGCTTGAAGGGATTTTTCAGCCTGACTTGTATTTAGATCTGTGGAAGTGCTTTCCTGAGGTTGAGTTCCTTTGTTAGTGTGAAGTTATGGAAGGCAAAATCAACTTGTTTCAACATCCAAGTACAACTGTGCTACAAAGACTAGGTTATTGAGCTAGAGGAGTGTGCTATAACTTTGATGGAAATAGTAACAACGTGCTTAACATTTTCATTATACTTTTTTCTCTGGAACGGAGAGTGAGGAATTTTATGCTTAACAAAGTAACTGGCCTTGTTCTTCAAAGTGCCTCTTTCCACATCTTTCGTTTTCATTACATTTAAACCTTCCCTTTGGGCACAGTCAGCACGACGCCCTTTACTCAAATACTGAGATAAATGATAGCAAAACGTAATCTCTAGTAACTATTTTTCAGAGCAAGTGTTGTTTTAAGATCTGTGACATCTGGTGGGATTTTTTTTTGTTCTTTGTTTTCCATTGTATGTGGTTTAGCGGTAAGGAAGAATTCCTTAGCTTGAGTAAAGAGAATTTGGAGTAGACCTACTTTACTTTGGACACAGTAACGCTTTCTTCTGTGTTAGATAAGAGGAAACAATAAGATTAAAAGTTTTAGGTTGATTGCCAATCTGCTGCTATTAAAATATGAAGTTACCTTACTTTCAGTATGTACTGGTAATATAATTTGATAGCTTTTCACTATGGTATTTAATATAGAAATGTTAGGTTTACATTTTTAAAATTCTAACTTATAATGTGTGTGCTATTTTATTACAAATCTCTGTGAAAGTAAATATCTGTATACAGAAGATAGTATTAAAACTGTGAAGCTTAATGTTCATCTGCATCTGAAAGGAGAAAACATTCCAGATATCTAGAGATAAACACTCATTATTTTTCTTTAAAGCAGTAACACTTTTTAGTTGTATATTGTTCTTTTTCACCTTTTTTAAAGTTATTGTTATATCTGACTGTCAAGAATTTCCCTGTCACTGGTAGTCACTTTTAAATTTGAATAACCCTCTGTAGAGACAGACTTGATATGACACAGCAAATAACTAGGTATGGAATCCCTGAGCAGATAGTGAGTACAGCAAGCTAACCTTTCTTCTTCTGTCTGACCTTACCCACAGATATATGTAAAACCTGAGAGGCAAAGTACATTAATCAGCTAGATTGGCCTGCTGGAAATGTTTTCTAGCTGCTGTTAGCATAGGAATTACTGTATTTGCAGGGGTTAATAGATGGAATCTGATGCAATCCCTCCCACTTTTCCCAGCAGTTTTCATTAGACAAGTGCTCCATAGCAACAGTGAGATCACCGGAGACAGTATTTCATTGATTTCTCCCTCCCGCCCCCTTCCATTTTTGAGCCATTCTTATCACTGAAGTGCAGTTGGGTGAAAAGACGGGGGCTTTTTATGCAGAACACTTATGTGGGCTTCTGTCTTGTAAATAATTTGAAAAGCAGAAATCCCTTACATCTTTTAATGTTTCACTATGTATTTAAAGAGAGATACAGGCTTAGGGGGCTGGATAACTGTACCTGCTGTAGCTGATGTTCTTAAGTATTCTTGCATTGTTTGCTGGTCTTCTAGGGAAAAGAATAATGTAGAGCAAGACCTGAAGGAGAAAGAAGATACCATCAAGCAGAGGACAAGTGAGGTCCAGGTAAATAAGACACAAAATTATTGTTTGAACACCTGATACTGCACCATGTGGTGCTTTAATGGCAATGTGACTTGAGTCTTTAGATCACATCACTTATTCTGTAAAAAGAAAAAATTATGGCTACAAAAAAAAATGTGCTCTGAAGTGTATTTCCTATATGAATATGGGTTGGTGTAGGTGTGTGTATTTATATAAGTGGGTGACCTCCTAGGATGTATAGCCTGCATGGAGTTTTAAATGGAAAAATATTACAAAAGAGCAGATTTCTTTGTTTTGCCTTGGGGGGTTTTGTTTGTTTCTTAGCAAGGCTATCTAATGTGTAATTAAAACTAGAGAAGACACTGTAACACTGCAAATTAATAAACTTAAGTGACTGAATTTAAAGGGTATGCATCTAGGGTTGTTTCTTAAGAGTCGCAGTAATTACCATCTTGGGAGGAATGTTGCCTCAAGTTAATTTTGCCTCACATAAGTGAATTTTAAAAATAACACGTTAGATCTTTATTTAAAAGGATGACATTGAATTTTGAGAATATTGGAAAATATTTTACACGTGCTTTGCAGGGATTAAAATTTTACAGTCAGCATCAGTATTTAGCATACTAACATTCTAGCCAACCTCTGAATTATTTAAATTTAATTTTAAGCTGCAAAAGCAACTGGGAGTTGCTGCTTTAATAAAAAAAAAAGACCTTTCAGTATGATATCTGATTGCTTACATTTTTTTCTGCATTTATTTTAGGCATTCTTATTATTTTAAATTATTTGATTAAGAGCAAATAAAGCAAGATTTCTGCATTTTACTTTGTGTGGAGCAGAAAAAAAGAGGCAGCATGTTACAACTGTGGTGAATTTTGTGCTTGGTTATTTAATATCCTTAAAGCCTGCATGATAATTAATAGTCTGACCTTTCAGAAGATAATCAGATGCTGGCCTGTTAGTCACGATGGCAGCCAGATTGAGCAGCTGCAGGAACACATACAGAAGTTGCCCATGCCTGTGATTCTGTCCATGCATGCAGCGGTCATTCCCCTCCCCGCTCTGCAGATCCCCTTTTCACCTTCTCAGAAATTCTTATGGTTATTCCTGAGTTTACACACAGGATGATTTTTGTTTGTGTGTTCTGGAATCTGTGTGTTTGTGCGAAGGCTGAATTCTCTGGTGCCTTTGTACAAAAGGTACAGAAAGCTAAATAAAAACCTTGCCTTTAATGTGGCAGTTCTAGTGTCATCGGCATATGGTTCATCGGCATATGGTTAGTGTTTGATAGGCAGCAGCATCACACAATCAATTAAGTCATTTTATCTAGAGCAGTGATGTTGGAAGCAACTGTCTCAGGTCTTTAACCTCTTAGTGATCACACAGGTTTGCTTAAAATGTCTCTTGTTTAAATACGGCATTATAGAGTCCTGTCAGTCGACAGAGACAGAACGGGCTATTACTGGCTTGTCAGAAAAGTGAGAAACCATCAGGATCAAATAGGAGATGGCTGCACCATTTGTTTAAGCTGGTGGCCCTTTATCTTAGGACCTTTTCCTGCTTTAAGGCATTGGAGGACCTGCATGTTTCAGGATGCTTTGTAGAACTTCAGAGAATAGTGGTAACAGACTGAGAATATCAGTATTTTTTTCTTCTGCTTTTATTCTGATGGTGACATTTCTAAAGGTGGTTGCAAAAACAGTGCATTCTAATCTGCCACCTCAGATCAAGTTAGTTTCTCGGCATCACACTCTGGGGTTTCTGATACCAGAATTACTTCCCTGGACACAAAATTTAATCTTAAATATAGCCATGGTCTGTCATGAGTCAAACTGATTTGTATGGGAGGAATGAAAGAATGACAGCTTTTTCTTTTATAAAATAATCTATATACTGTGTAGATCAGTCCTAAAAAGCAAAGGCAGAAAAAGAGTTGGAAGGAAGACATAACATACAGATGAGTTTTAATGTGCTTATTAAAATATCAGCTCTTTAGCAGCAAAGACTAAGGGGTGTTTTTTCTTAAAAAGTTATGGACTGAATAACAAAGATCAAGAAATTTCTAAGACGCCATTTCCGTAAGTTACTCTGTGGCTGGATTAGCATTTTTCTTGAAGTATAGGAGTAATAAACTTGGATATGAATTATTCCTCTTGGCTGTACTTTGTTTTACAGGATTAATATGTAACTAAAAATTAGGTTTTGACCACATACCAAGTGGCATCTGAAAATGCCTTTACCTGGCTGTCCCCTTCCTCTCTCATCTTCTTATTAGTCCAGAATGTTTGTGGCCTTTTCTTCTAGCCTTTTCATCTCCTTGTTGGCATGAGTTTTATTTTTAAAGCAGGTTTACGGCCGAGTATCTCACTCAGCATTGGATTTTCTCTATTCTTTGTTGCAGCACACCATAGCCATTCAACAGTGCTCTTTCAGGCTTAACAGTTCTTAGCACGTGACTGTTGAGTGAAGTCCAGACTGGCAGACTATGAAATCTGCTATATCTCTGTGGAAATACAGACCTCTAGGCTCTCCTTGCCCTACGCTACATTAGCGTGGAGAATTATAATGATTGTAAAACTAATACAAGGATTACTGTTACCATAAAAATGCTAGTTTGTACCACTTCAAATATATTAATGGTTTTCATATGAAATCTCATCCAGCGCTTGAACATTTAAGATGCTGCTTCTCTGCTGATGATGTTCTTTGAAACTGAAGATTAATTTGGAGCCTCTTTTACTTCTTGAAGGTGTATCTTTGAGTATTAGCCCCAGGTCTGTGTACTGGATCTGCTCCAGCTTTTAATTTTGGAGTGATTATATTGGACATGTTTGGTTTTGGTTGGATTTTTTTTCTTTTTTCTCTGGGAGCCATCAGGCTTAGTCAGGTCTCTTCAGTGCTTCTCTACTGCTGTGCCTGGGACAGACAGTGGGCTTCAAGGAACAGCAGAAAGAGTGGAGGTGATCTATATTTAGCTTGTGTGTATGTGAATTCTTGCTTGCTTTCACAGAAAGGAGACTGACATCCAATCAAGCTGTTCCTTTCACCCCCCTCCCCGCCCGAGTCCTTGTGCTGAGTGTCAGCTGATGCTTCCTTTTCAAAGCCATGTTAAAAATGAACACTGATTATCCATGTCAGTAGCTGCTCTAGGAGCTTTTTGTGAGTTCACTGGTTTGTCTTGCATAGATTACAAGTAACCCGTAATTCACCTGGTGTAACTACATCAGTCGTACGCCTGTTACTGAACTTCAGATATTGGGGGTTTTGTGTGTGTTTTTGGTGGTTTGTCTTTTGTGGATTTTTTTTTGGGGGGGAGAGGGGACTGTGTTTGTTTCGTTGTGGTTTCTGGTTTTTTATTTCATAAAAGCATCTGTGATCTTTCTTTAGGTAGTCTTCCAGTTGTCTTGAGGTTCCTGTTCACTGGCTGCTGCACCATATGCTTTTCTATTTCTGTCTGGCTTTTTTGTCCTGAATATCTGGAGGTGCTAGCACACTTGGATACACTGTCTACCTCACTCAAAAAAATCCCCAATAAAATACCTCTAAAAGAGGACAACAGGATCTTCGCTAAGAGCAGCACACGATTATATGATCTAATCAGAAATTCATGTCATCTTGTTTTCTTATCCTCGTTAGATTTCTTTTATCTCTATTCACTTTCCACTGTTGTTCATGAATCTTCAATCACCATATTTTCTCAGAAAGGCTGCAATCTTCTCTTTTCATCTAGTACTTCTCCTTCTGTATTAATCCTTTTTGATCTTCCTGTATTATCTCTTCCTCTTGACTCTGACACTTCTTGTTTCTTCTTAAAGTCTTCTCTTGACTAATTTTTTGATGTTTTCTCTGCACTACGTTGAAGCATAACTATTCCTGTTGCTCAGAAATGAACTAATTGTCAGATGATGCTACTCAATATACTTGGGACACCAGAAGCATACATAGTGCATTTTTGTAAACTAAAATGTGCCATGTTGTGTGTGGAATGTGCATTGCTTACTAGTACTGTTATATGGAAGATATGAGTTTGGCTGATTTTTACAAAATTGGAGGCAGGGATGCTCTAGAAAGTAGTGTGTTTGGGTTAATATTGCACTAGTTTGGTCCTTTACCATATTGCTCAAACAAGGTCCTATCTTTGGCCATAGGTTTTCAAAAGGAGAAGGAGCAGAATAAAGAGTTTCTATTATTAAAGTACTCAGGAGAATGTATTGCTAAAACAGGAGAGAGACAGTGAGACAATGTAGACAACTTCCAAATTCAAAATAAGACCTTTAACCTCGCTGGCAGTAAAACAGTTAATCTCTGTGTTGATGCACGATCTTCAATATTTCAGAGAGATTATTTTTACTTCAGAGAAGAAAAAACAAATAACCTGATGATTTTTATGACTTAAAATTAGAGGATATTTGCTTCTCTGCTAGCATTATAATTGCTAGATTTTGAAAGATAATTTGTTACTCTGAAATCTGAGTTACTACTGCAGTTTACACTGGAATTCAGAGTTTGGGAGGAGAGATGGAACAAATGCAAAGCTAATCTCTTCTTTTACAGGATCTACAAGATGAAGTAAAGCGGGAAAGCAGTAATCTGCAAAAGCTGCAAGCTCAGAAACAGGAAGCGCAGGAAATCCTTAACGATCTCGACGAGCAGAAGGCCAAATTGGAAGAGCAACTCAATGACATCAGGCAGAAGTGTGCAGAGGAAGCCCACTTGGTAAAGTCTAGGGACTAAGGCCCCTGAAAGAGTAAATGCCTCATTATGAAGAACTCTGAGTTGCAGCATTAGCATTTTTAGGGGCAGGAAAAAACTGTAATGAATACACAGCCTAACTGTCAGGATTTTTGGGACCAACAGAGAATAGAAAATGTGTCACTCACCTCAGTGACCTCTTAATTTAGTATCAGTGTGTCAGCAAATGCACTGAGAGACACTTGCACACAAGTATGGTTAAGTGCAAACTAATGCAAAATTATGGTGCAACGTAAGTGAAATTAGAAGCACTAATTACTGGAACTGATTTCTTAGTTGTTAAAAAAAGTTATTTTATGGTTATGTAGATTTTTTCTAATATGTAGTATATGGTAATACTAATATATAGTATTTCTTTAAGGTCTAAATGATATTTTCACTATTAGAAATATCTGCGTTGGTCTGTGTTGAGCAAAACAGCTCAAATACTATGATCTTATGGGGACCAATAGGGAGTTAACCTTAATTCAGGTATGATCTATAATCTCTGCAATAGCTATGAGGTTTTTACTTCTTCTGGTCATAAGTAATATTTGGATACATTTGGAAGGGTTGTGTTTTGTGGGAGTTTTTGGTTTGAGGGTTTTTTTATTATTTGGTTTTGAAATATTCTTCCTGCTTTAGATTGCCACGCTAAAGGCTGAAATAACAAGCCAGGAATCAAAGATTTCAGCGTATGAAGATGAACTGACCAAAGCTCGAGAGGAGCTGAGTCGCCTGCAGCAAGAAACTGCAGAGCTTGAGCATTGCATAGAGTCTGGAAGAGCACAGCTGGGACCTCTTCAGCAACATCTGCAGGATTCACAACAGGAAATCAATTCAGTAAGGCAGTGGAAAAGACACATTACCCACTCCCCATCTCCTCCCCCCAAAAAAGTATTTTTTTTAGCTGACAACCTTTCGTGTCATTTTTCTTAAGGGAAGGGCGTCATTTTCTTTTTTCTTCACTGTTTGCTCATGCCTTTAGTTGCTTACACGTGTAATCTGTACTAGTAGTTGTTAGGATTCTTAGAGGCTGACTCAAGTCACTCGGGATACTTCATGATTTGGCTCCAAGTTTTGTTAATAAAAAGAGACTCACTTATTATACTTTGTAAATAATTTGTCTTGAAGTACTGAATGAAAAATGGATAATGCATATTTCAGTTCTCTATGTCCAGTAGTTATTGAAGCTTTCTTCCTCAGACATGGCCTGGGGCATGCTCTCACTATAATTGATGTGAAGTCAGTATAAAATTACTAAAAACATTTACTTAGTGCATTGTTGAAGGGAGAAAGTAAGGGGAATGTAAGAATAAATTGGATTGAGACTAGATACTGAGAAGCAGAGAGATGGCTGCACTGGCTTTTAAGCGCTGTGCTTGGAAGTGTCTGCTCTTACGTTGAAAGAACGCTTTTAGCTCCTCTCTGTAATCAGTGATTTATTATTACTTCAGTGGTGTGTTAGCTTGCACGCCCTTTCCTCATCACTCTTCTCTTTCTCTGACTTGCCAGCTGTCTGGTATATTAGCCAGAGTCACATCATTGTCAACTTAAAAACAAAATTAAAAGCGTTCCTATTAACTTTGAACCCTTGAATGGTTGACTTTTGAGTTGGTCATTTCACACGGTTCATGTCTTGAACTTGTTACCAACTTTTTTTTCCGAAGACTTCCATGGGTAGTGTTCATGCAAGAGCGCTTTCTTCTGTTGAAGAGCTGTATAACATATTCATAATTTATATATTTGGCTTCCAAGTTTTAGAAACTGAGAGGTAAACAAACGGGTTTTCCATTATTTTATCACAGCTGGAGAGAACATTGTGCTGTTTCAATGTTAATACAGCGTCAAGAGGTGCTTCGAGTGAACAGATTTGAGGCTGATGTGTCGTTGTGCTTGACTGTGCTACAAACTTTTTAATAGACTTTCTATCAGTACTTCTGATCTTACCGCTCTTGGCTCACAAATAATGAACAAAAAGGGCTTTGGTGGTTTAAGGCAAGATCATCTAATGGTCAGTCTGAGGTCAGTGTATTTGAAAGACAGCTGGTGGTGTCTGTGCTGCTACCGGACTTGTGACATTTGCAAGGCAATGAAAATTCTGTTAGGTGACTGACCTTGCAGAATTCAGGGGGATTTTAGACACCTAAAGGTCTGAACTACGTTCATCCTTTGCATAATCTACAAAATGTGATAATTCCTTCATAACTGGCACAGATAGGATGTAAACATTTGCTGTGAGGCACTGCGGTAAGCATGTGTTGAAGTAGTAACATGTGAATGTAACTGTCTGCTTAGGAAGATACACTGTGGATTTTGTAGACTTTAAAAGTCATGTGGGAAATGGTAATGAATTTGTATTTTTCCTTCTTGGAAGATGAGAATTCTGATAAAGCAGCGTTTTTAATTTAGAGTTTAAAGCAATCGCAAATACATAATTAAAAAACAAAAACCTAAAACCCAACCACAGAAAAAACACCCCCTACCCCCAAAAAAGCTAAGCAAAACTAAATAAAAATAAACCTTGAAAGCTTTGCAAATTCATCTTAAGAGTTTGAGCAGAGATAAAGCAACACATGTTGGTGTTGCCAGCGAGTCAGTCTTCTTCCGTGACAGGAGAAGGTTCTCGGTCTGTCCTTTGACCACATTGCATCTCTTCAAAATCAGACCTGTGCTCGTCTCTCTTCCTTCACCCTTTTATTGAAAGAGCGTGGTTTTTCTTGTATTTACTTTTGAAAGAATTTCAGACATAGATTGTAGAGGAGATGTTCATCTACTAGCTTCTGTGTGCTGCCAGACTGATGCCTATGTGTTTATTTCTGTTTACAGGTGCAGACAAAACTTCTTGAGCTGAAAGAATTGGAAAATAACCAGTTCAGTTGGCACTCTCAGCCGCGTAGTACGCTTGTTAATGGAACCACGGATCATTCTAGTCTTAGCAACAGCAGCAGTGAGACTGCTAACCTTAATGAGAATGCTGAAAGGGAAAGTATAGCAGAAGAAGAACAAACAAACAGTGTCTCTCCAGTGAGTAGTGTTTTGCCTGCTTGATGGTATTGCAATGCAGCTGTGAAGTCTGAATAAGTTAAGAATGTATCAAGACCGATTATGTTTTTAAACATCTGCACAAGTGACATTTCAAGGTGTTACTCTGAGGGACTATCTTTCTGCAGCCTGAACGTTGATAAGCAGAAAAGGAGGCAATTTTAACTTGGCTGGAAAGTGGCAATTTTTTTTTTCTGTATTTGTTTCCAAAGTAAAATATTGTCACCCAAGTAGTAGAATTAACATTAAAGGAGAGCAGGTGTCTCCAGGTGTGCAGCAAGGATGGAATAAGGAATAGCACAGAAAATGTAAAGCTATCTTGCTTAAAGTGTCCCTCCTTGCGTCCCAGTAAGTTCTTGATTTTTATTGTTTTATTTATTTTTTAAAAAATCACAGGCTTACAGAGCACTTCAGTATGTTCTGTAATATCCTTTAGTATATTCTTTTAGCTATTTAATACTTAAAATTATATTGTGTAGTCTTCTGTTTACGTATTTATGATGAACTGATTTTATCCTTAATTAGGTAAGGAATAGTCCTGAAACAACAGCCTCTGTTGTGGAAGAAGAGAAAGAGACCCCAACTGCAGCTATTACCAAAAAAGTGAGTTTGTTCAGGTTTAGGGGAGGAAAAAGTAAATTTTAAAAAAATCCTGCTTAAACTGCTTCAGGTTTTTGTCACAGTCATAGAGCAACAGAGAAATAAAATTGTGACTTACTGTTTTTGTTTAGAATGTGATGTCATGAACACATTTCATCCTGTATAGCAGGCAGATTGTTGTTGAGAAATATTTTGGATCTCCATTGATGAATTATGTAGAATTCTAGCTGTCACTTCTTTTCAGCTTTAAGAAACTACTGAACGGTAATGCAAGACGACATAAGTGTTTTCCATCCTGCGTGTCTTAAATATTTAATACCTGTTCTCTTCTTCTTTTGCATTGCCCAGGAAGATCCATTTGATGCTGAATCTCATCCATTGCCTGATCTAGCCTCTGAAGCCAGCTTAGAGTTTTTCCAGTCTGACCCTTTTGTTGGCAGTAAGTAAACTCTTCTCTTGTAAGTGCAGATTTGCAGAAACAGGTCTTGTATGAACACATCTCAGACTAATCTTCACCTTGGAACTGGTCTTTGTAGAGTAAATGTGAAGATGTTTGAGTGACAGGAGCATGGAGCCAGTAGCATTACCAAAATAGAAATGAGAGTCCCAGGGTGTTTCTCCTTCCTTCATCTGGACTTTCTAATTAGCTGTGAAAACTGCACCTTCCTCTTGGAGTTCTTCCTGAATACTTCTCTTATCCCTCACCCTGGTTGCAGTTTGATCTTAAAGGTGTAGGCATAGTTACGATACACGCGGTGTTGCTAATCTAATTTGCAGCACCAATGCGCAAATGGATCAACTGAGGGTTCAGCGAGCTGTGGCGTGGGGAGGGTGTGGGTGGTCGAGGATGAATGGCTGTGGCCTACTTAGGGCGAGTTTGGCACTCCCAAAAAGGTGATGTGGAACTGCACCATCTGTTCGTCCTGTGGAAGTGCGATGCTTTATTTTAAGAACTTGCCACTTGTGAGTGCTGTCGCTCTGCTTTTACTTTTTTTCTTGCGTGTTGGAAGAAGTGATCTGTCTGCATGGAGCCACTTGGAGAAGGGGAGTTAATTTGGATCTGCTGAAGCAGATGTTTTTAGCCGCTTTAATATGATTTTTTTACATGCCTTCAGAATCAATATGGTCTGATTTGATTTAGCTCATATCGCCTCAGAGGAAAATAAGCTAAATTTGTTGCAGATCAGTTGGCTTCTGAAAGAATGTCTGTGCAGATTTAATACTTTTAATGAATGAATTAAACTAATTTAAAACAGCTTGAATGTTTCTGTGTAGATACTGCTTGATTTTATTTTTTTTTTGTTTATGTTGAAGTGGTCCTACTCACAGTGGATGACAAGGCCTTTCTTTCAGAGAAGAAAGGTGTGTCTTTTAGTAGCCAACATTTTGGGCTCAGTATGTTCAGGGGTAGATACCTACAGCTAAAAACCAATATATCTAAGTGTTTCAGATGTAGATGAGGGAACTGTGCATCCAGTAGAGAAACGAACGCTTAGGAGCTACCATCCATGGTGCCTGTGAGAATTAATCAAAACTGGGACTACACTTCTCTCAGTGGTTAGCCTGGATTACGCTTGTGGTAAATACTGTATTACGTGGGTATTTACAGACAATAGCCAACAGAAGATAAGTGATCTCTTTGAGATAAGTGGAACTGTTCCTCTCAGTGAGAGTTGTTTAAATTCTAGCTGTAGAAATGAGTTTGTATCCAAAAGATTTCAACTGAGTACGTTTCATGACAAGTAACTTTTTGGTGGTTTTTGTGTTTTTGTTTTTGTTTTTTTTTTTCAAAAAAAGGTGATCCCTTCAAAGATGACCCATTTGGCAAAATTGGTAAGTAGCTTTGTAACTTCTAATATGTTTGTTTTCCTAAATGATTCCTACTAGAAGACTATGTGGGGAAAGCTATCACCAATTTCAGCACAAAAATGTGCAAATGACCCAAAAAGTCACCATAGGATAAACAGATGCGTACATGGCAGTAGCCTTACAAGCTTTTTAGAGAAGCCCATTGCCAGTGAACTTCGCTCTTGCGAAGTTGGAAGTACCCTTAGTTTGGATTTAAGTATGTGAAAGTGGTGAACAGAAGGCCCCAAACTCTTGCTGCCTGTTATGTATGTAGACATAGGACTGTACTCTTTAATTAAAAAGTACAGTAAAAGTACTCATAATTTACCAAATTTATTTAGCTCTAAAAAGGTGGGAAGTCTCGATTTAGACTGGCCATACGGGCAATGCCATTGCGTTATTTCCTTGGTCCTGAATGGAGTTACTGGTGACAGAGAAGCAAAATGGGCAGTAGGAAGGCTATGGCAAAGTAACGGTGAGCACCAAGTGCCAAATAAGAAACATCAGTTGTGTTTGAGAAGTGAAGGAGAGAAGAGTAGGAGAAACATAAGGTTTTTGCAAAATACTTCATTTTTAGGGAGCTTGGCTAAAGAACTTGTATGCTCAGATGATTCTGGAACCGAACCACTGGCACCATCCAAAGTTTTCACAATGTACAGAAAATGTTGGCTTATCTCATGTTTTGAATCAGAGAATACAAATTATTCACAGATTAAGTTTGTACTTTAAAATCCTTGGCCTTAAATGTGTCACCTTCTTGCAGTATGAAAAAATCAATGTAATGATTACTTTTTAAGATAGCAAGCTAGGTGAATCTAGCAGAAATGTTAATGAGGTGTTCACTTTTTAGATCCTTTTGGTGGTGATCCCTTCAAAGGCTCAGATCCTTTTGCAGCTGACTGTTTTTTCAAACAATCCTCCACTGATCCTTTTGCAACTGCTGGCACTGATCCATTTAGCACTGCAGACAACAGTAATAATATCACAGTAAGTTTGGTAACATACCTTTATACTGTATATGATTTGGGCAAAATAACCTATTTTGTACATTTGGACAAGAAATCACACAGATAAAACGTTACCTCTTACCCCATAGTTCTGTCCTGTCTTTTTGGTGACCTATTTTTCAGAAATAGTCACAGATGAAATAGAAGTAAAAATGAAAAGATTTCTAAAATGTTTCATTGTGGACAGTCATCACTCCAGACAAGAACTTTTGAGAACAATGAACTAAGCTCTATTGGTAGCTGGTGGAACTTACTAAACATTGAAAGGAACCCAAGATTCATCTCACCAGCTTATGCTGAGACACTTGATTTTTTTACTCCAAAGCTTATAGAATCAATAAGTATGTTCTTACCTCTTACCTGAAATCTGATGTGGTATGGGATTTCCCCTCTGAAAAGTCAAATTGTTCTATGGGTGCATGTTGTTTTGGTTTTCAGTCAATGAAGGCTTTTCTTAATGTGGAGATTCTTACTGAATGTACCTCTTTCAAGTGTACTTTGGTGTGACTTTCAGCCGTGCGTATTATAGCTGAGCAGTTACTGATTAGTCTTGAGCGTATAATAAGGTAAAAGTAGGACATGAAACTTCTGATGTAGGATAGAACTTGATCAACATGAAGTAATATTGGAGGCTGGCAAACAACCTAAAAAGCTGAAATTTTTCATGTTCTAGGTTTGTCTCCGTCCTTTTGCCATCTTGTTTCTTTCTCAGTGCTGCTTCAGTTCATTCCCCACTTCCAGTTTTGTGTGTGTATAAAATATGTGTGTACATATATACAAATTGAAGATACGTGTGGGTTAGGGTTAGGAAGCAAATTAAGTGCCTGAGGCAAACCCACAGCAGCCACAATGGTCAGAAGTCACTGCAGCTCCCTAACAGTGGTGGTCTCGTCCTTCCATGTAGTGCGCACGTGGTGCAGTCCTCCAGGTCCTGCTACACACGGCAGCCTGCACCTCCAGCCTGAAAAATTAGTTTCATACAAACCTCAATACTTAGCACACTGTCCTTTTCCAAGTCTTGATATTCTAATATAACTGATTCTGGGTACTATTACAGTCTAATAATAAGAGAAGTACAGAATAGAAGGGAAAAAAAAAAAAGGGCTTAGACCTGTGTGGGATCAACAGTGATTTCTTGAGATGTATATTTCTGAACTGCAGCTATGTTTTTGCATTCATTCTAAGTGCTTTACCACACCTTTATGGTGTCAATATCTTGTAGTTACATCTTCATGAAGATAGCTGTGGTTGTAGAAATCTGAGACCAAAATGAGTGGTAGGTAATCTCAAATTTTGCATTAGTGGTTACCAAGTATATTGCAGACAATTGTACTTTTTTCCGTCATTTGAAAGTATTAATTACTGTTTTGAGGAGGAGTTTCTGTTAAGAGGCTTGCTTGCTGATAAAAACAACTGCCAAAATATTTTATCTTAAAACTTTTAAACTAAAATAAACAGTGATTTTATTCTTAGAATGAGGAATCTTTTGAAGCTGAAAACCCAATTTCCCTCCAAAGGAATTTTTTATTTTAGACAGAGATATCGAAGAAGAATGACCCTTTTGCTCCTGGTGGAACAACCGTTACTACATCAAATGATCCAGGTAAATGTAGATTATGCACATCAGACTTCTTGATTTTGTTTTTTATTTGCTTTTTGCTTACTTTTGTTTTTAGATTTTTAACTGAATTTGTGACAGAGCATTTAAGGGATTTCCTGCATTTTCTGTATCTTCCTATAAAGTGTGACATAAGGTGCAAGTTTGCAGAAAGGTGTTTTTATAAAACTGCCTCATTATCTGTAGTGCATACCACTGAAGATAGATTCTGCAAAAGTGCTCCTCTGCCTTACCTAAAACTGGTAAAACATCCTCATCTAAGTGTTTGAACTATTTGAATTGTTATTGCTTCCCATTACGGTTATTTTTAGAGATTTGCTGTTACCTTCTAAGTAACATATGAGATAAGGTACTGTTGAATTAGACTGAGATGATTTGAGGTTTGAATACTCTGTTCCACGAGTGGGCCTACAATCAGAAGAGAGCTCTTGTTCATAATCATACATATAAATACATGTCTGTGTATGTATATTTGTATGTATGTATATATGCACGGAAAACACACCTCTGTGTGTATACACATATGTATCTCAGCAGAACACCCAATACTGTGGTTAACTGATGTTTTCAGTGGAATTTAACTTTTTTTTTTAATATAAGAAACCAGAATACCAATATTTCTTTCTAATTGCTCTGTGTTCAGAAAAATTCTTATTCTTAATTGGTAGTTGACACTTGGAGTTCTTGTAAAAGCTACTTCATAACTTAAAGTGAGCACCTCATTAAAAAAATCACTTGAATTAGCCTATGCTGCAAAATGTGTAACTTTTGGGGGGGATTTTTTTTCCAATCTCTTTTATATTTAACTTTTTAATCTCATTTTCTTCTCTTGATTTGTGTGTATTTAGCTACAGACCCTTTTGCGTCTCTGTTTGGAAACGAATCCTTTGGAGGTGGCTTTGCTGACTTTAGCACGCTGTCAAAGGTAAGGTGAAGCTACTGCTAATCACAGAAAATGCAGGAAACTCTGCAGTGACAAGTCATAGCTTTCTCTACCAAGAGTTTCGCAGAAATACAGAATTGTTAAGGCTGGAAAAGACCTCTGAGATCATCAAGTCCAGCCTATGACTCAACAGTTTCATTACAGTTCTGACACTACTAAAAATTTATAATGTCTGACTTTCTTGAAAAAAAGGTCTGTATAGTAAATTATTGTGCAATTCCACTGTGAAAAATGCAATGTAATCTTTATGGCTTTATAAGTATTTTCTCCATGTTTTAAGTGATTTTTTTTTTTAATTCAGTGAGTTTAACTTTTGTATGTTTAACTGCATTCAACTTTATATTCCTGTACACACAAACAATTCCTGTTTTTTCTTTCTTTTCAGTCTTCTGGTGTGTGTATGATATGTGTAAAACCAAAGTATTTTCTTTTTTTCTTAGTCCATACATTCAATTCTAAATAAATATCACTCTATGGAAAAGAAAGTATAGTAGAATTGCACTGAAAATGTGTATGTTGCTGTTTAATTTGTTGCAGGCCAATAACGAAGATCCCTTTAGCTCTTCCGTATCAGGTTCTGTCAACAGTGTGGTCATAACTAAAAACTTATTTGAGGAGCCACCAGCTAAAAATGAGGATGTTCCTCCTGCACTGCCCCCTAAAACAGGAACTCCTACAAGGCCCTGTCCACCACCACCTGGTAAGAGCTGCCACTGAGATGTTCATTATTAGCTTCTTTGATATTGGCAGTGGGACAGTAATTGAGGTCAGTAGTGGCAAAGCTCGCCAGTGGAACCGTGAGCAACCCAGGTTCCCTATGTTGTTTTCTGTTCAGTGACAGCTGAGTCCTCTGGTCTACTCCATGACACAAACCAGTCTGCTGTCCAGAAAAGGCTGTGAATATCAAAGATAACAACACTTTCTTGTGGTTGCAAAAGTCCATATTACAACAGACTTCTTACTCCTTTTTTGTCATAGACTCAAAAAATATATTACTAGTATTCCTTTGTAAGTTTCTGTCCTTTGTTTCGTTTTCTTTAAAAACTCTCCTCAATAATTTTTTTTTTTACCATTACACCATATGGATGCATCTTAAGGTGTTTTGGAACACTAGCATAAAAGCTAAACATGTATTCATCTTTTTCCTCAAAAGGAGGGGAACACAGTAAATGCAGGAGTATTAAACAGCTGAGTTTAAACCTTAGGATTAATGTCTAATTCTGATGTGAGATCTGGCTCATGCTTGTGCCTTGCAAGTGATTAATTTCAGTGTAAATAGCATTAAAACAGTTGGAGTGACACATGATGATAAACTGAATGTTTGATAATGTTTCCTTTTATGATTGTCCTTACTTAAAAATCAACTTCTGACATCACTGTATAGGATTGGCTGACATGGTGAACAGATTCAATCTTAGAATGCAAGCTCCTAGTGGCAGAACAGCAGCATCCTTTCCAAAAGATGACTAGAAAAAAAGTAGCCTGTTTCAATTAGCATGTATTAAGAATGATACTGTGGTTATCTTGATAACTATTCCAAATAAATAATTTTCCTGGTGGAAATAAAAAAATCACGAAGCTTAAATGTATTTGGTTTTAATTACTTCTTTGGTCTGATGTCCCAAAAAGTTTCTTGTAATTCTTCGCGCTACTGGAAAGTGTGCAGTAGGGCTCTTTGCTTTCCTCTGCAATCTGTTGCCTTTCTAGATATTGCTAAGCATGCAAATTTCATTTTTTTGGGGGGGCAGATTTGGAGATTGTGTACTTCATATTCTTATACTTAATAATCCTTCCTGTGTAGAAACCAAATTCCTTAGATACCATTTGAAGGGGCTTCCCCACATTATTGAACAAATAGATGTGCAGTGTTTACCAGTAATAGAACTTGATCAGTGAGTGTGAGCTATCATGGCAGGGTTATCTGCAAAGTTTCTAAATAAATCATATATTCCCGAGGGGGTATGCTCTAAATCATGGCCAAATGAGACTCTCTTTTGGTCTATGAAAGACTTTTTTTACTAACTTGTGACAGTGATGAGGAAGATAATAAGTCCTTTGGCTCAGTTCTGCAGTTTTAGATTAAAACAGCCACAGAGGCAAGTTCCAAAATACAACCATTGTAATTGTCGAACCACTTGCAGAAGCTGGTAGTTGAATTCAAGAAACTGCAATGAAACCTTTTGTGGAAGCAGTTACATATGGAGAGAATGGTGGGATGAAATTCAGCTCAGCTGTTCTTTGAAGTATTTAGGTTAATGTCCCCAGAGGTGTTGCAAGCTGGCTGGGGTTAAGCTGAAAAAAGAACAAGATAAGTGGGGGCTTGTGCCCGATGCTGTTATATCTGCAGCCGCTTAGGAAAGGATTAACAAAACAGTTAGTCCTGCGATTGCTTATCATACTCCTTTGTTCTGTTAGTTTAAAAGCTACAAAAATTCCAGGTATTAGTGAGGTGAGAGGACATGGTATTTGGAAGTCTCTCAACTATATTTCTGGTCTTTGAATGAAGTTGTGTTAACTTGATCCAAACAAATAATGCAAGAGCCTTGCTTGAATTATCATGGACAGTTCCTAAGCAGAATAAAAAAAAGTACTGTGCTGGTAGAGTAGGGGCTCAGAACTGTTAGAAATTCTCTTCCCAAAACAGTTAATTACTACATAATGGTGTTCTTGAATCATTAACATATACATGTGTTCCTATTTATCTGATTACCCTTTATGAAACTATGGACCATGCTCTCATTTTTTAAATTGGCAACCTTCCTCTGAAGTCATTGCAACTCCACTAGTTTACTAGATGAGGTTGCATTCCAAGTAGCTTTTGAATCTGTTTTTTTTTAACTCTTTTGGCATGTTATTACCTGCGATCTTAAATTCATTTTAAATTCATTTTAATCTAAGGGAAAAGACCTATCAATCAAATAGACTCTTCAGATTCCTTTAAACCGAGCGATCCATTTCAGCCTTTCCCCACCCCAGACATTCCCAAAGAACAAGAAGCAGATCTATTCTGTGATCCATTTGCTCCCACCAGCATCAGTAAAGAGGCTGACCCCAACAATTTTGCAAACTTCAGTACTGTGAGTAAACACTTTTTACATTTATTTCAGTATAATGACAGCTTTGAATTGTTCACACTGAAGTCTTCAGTCTAATTTAAAATATTAAAACATATCCCATGTACAAAAGGGATATCACTTCCAGTTAAAACAGTATTTACATTTAGTTTACAGCTGAAGCAGTCCCAAAACAAATGCTACAAAATGTTGTAGTTAATGTTTAAATTGTATTTTTTATGTGATTTTTTTTCCATGGAGGCCTCCCAGATTTTAGAAAGCAATTTAAAAATACCTGTGTTCTAGAGATTATCCATTTTATCAGAGTATGCAGCAGATTCAAATTGTGTATCTATAACAAGCACGCTGTTAGCTATCCAATTAAAAATAAAACAAAAGGTGTGATTTTAATTTAGCTGTCACTGAACTTTTTGGTTATAATTTCAATGTACTGAAATATTGATAAACAGCCTCATAACAGTGTATGTTAATAAATATAATTTGGTGAGTTTTGAATGGCTAGTAAATTCCAGACTTATGTAATGAAGTGTCTCTTTATAACCAAAATCCATTTCATAGAAGTCGTGGTGTGCAAGCAGTAGAAGCAAATCTCAAGGTTTGTGCCTGCCTATACGTATTTTTTTTCTCTTTTGAGCTTTTGCAAACAGGAGTTTTGAAAGGCGTCATCTCACTTGCAAGCTGGTTGCCTGTTAAATGCAATTTGAGTTTACAGTATCGTGATCATACTGCTTTGCTTTATTTTCAAGCCTAATAAACTATGTGCTTGATTGAAGTAAACTGAGGACTGATAGGCTCTCAGAATTGATTTGCACTGGTTGGTGTGTCTTGTGGCATGACAAGTTCTGAAATGCTGCCACTGATCACTTAGAGGGACTGAGAACCCAGTTTGCAGGAGAGAATCTGAAATGTGGAGGAGAAAGCAAAAATGTTCAGTATCCTTATGAAGGAAGAGCATTCTCTTCCAGCTGCAATTACTGAAAATACTAAGTGAATGAAGAGGAAAACTCAAGCTTTTCTACATTTATTTCCCAAAGGAGAAACTAGCTGGTGTATATTATGATAACCCTTTCAGACTTAACACTGGGACATTCATGAAGACGTAGGCTTCACCTATTTCTTAGCTCTTCCGCTCTTCTGCATGCTGACTAGAAACAAACTAGCATAATCTTTTATATTTAAGATAATGCCCTTAACTGTTTCCGATTTGTAATCATTGTACCACAGAAATTTAGGTTTCACATCAATGTACGTGGAAAGAGCCTGTTCTTTTTCTTTTTTTCCTCCTGTATCACACTGACCTTTCTCTATATTACTATATTACTACTAGGCTTCTAACTCAATGGTTACCTTATTATTTTGCTGCTTCTTGGCAAAAGTATCTTTCACCTGCACAATTAAAGTCAGTCATTCTACAGCTAATTTTTGCAGTCATTGTCACCTCAAAAAATCAACCCTAATCAAAGTAGGGTGAATCAGGATGTCCCACAGTATGAATAGGGCTGTATTCTGCAAAACGTTCTCTTGATTTATTCAAAGTTTTTCCTGTCTAGACTAGGTTTTATCCAAAATAGTTTGAATTTAAATTATAGCACTTTCTGCTCAGTAACTTTTTTTGAAACTTAATTCTGAAACTTGAAACATGGTGTATTTCATTAAAATACATCAGTTGGGTGGCTTCAGTGCAGTTCTTAATAGTTCAGTCTTAGGCTAAGCTAATCTTAATAGTGTATTAAAATTAAAAAGCAAGTCATATTTGAAGACTAGAATATACACAATATTTTGAGAAACTAATTGTCCCTTAAGCCAAGAACTTGGACACTATTAGTTATCATTGTATTATTAATCTGGTTTATTTTGTCTTTTCAAAATGCAGTATTCTACTGAGGAAGACATGATTGAATGGGCTAAGAGGGAAAGTGAGAGAGAAGAGAAAGAAAGATTGGCGAGACTAAAACAGCAAGAGCAAGAAGACTTGGAACTGGCTATTGCACTCAGTAAATCTGAAATATCAGAAGCATGAAGTTTAGAATAAGATTTTTGTCCTGCATCAACTGTTTTGTCCCTTTTCCTGAATACCTAACCTATTAAAATGTTAATCAGAAAATACATATATACCAGAAAGGTTTTAAATTTCTGAAAGTGGTGTGAATGTTTCTGCTAAATTCAGTCCTTTTAGTTGTTTGAATAACTGTTAAGTTTAGCATTCAATTTCTCTCAAGTTTTCAGGAGAACAAAGTACTTTTTCCAGCTGTGAGCAAATCAGTTTAAAATACAAATAGTGTGATTGTAGTTTGACTGTAATCTGTCAGCATTTGGTAATTGAGCATAAAGCGAACAGAGCAATTATTCTGCCGTGGCTGACTGTCTCCCTTCAAGCAGTTAGTCAGTCACTTGAAACCTTTCATCCTTTTAAAGAGATTTTAGTAATGCCAGAGTTGTGGAGTGCTTTATTTTATATATATGCGTATGGATTTTTCTCTTCATTGAAGATTCTACGTTTGGCTTTGAAATAGCAATCTTCATGGAGTCCAAGTCAGAAAGAGTGCATCCTTCTGAAACCTTTAATGCTTTTCTCGCATGGTCGTGGGTTTTAAGACAGACCTGTTATTTTGTTTTATGAAGCAAGTAGGTTGAAAATTCATGTGCGTTTGCTGTTGGCCAAGATGACCGTCAAACTATGAGACCCCACTGCTATTTGAGCCACTTTTGCCTGTGAAATCTGCAGCTGAACTGGCAAGTTAATAAGTTCAATTTGAAATAGGATTGAGAATAGAAAAAAAACCAAAACAGGTAGTCTGATTTTTTTTTTTTTTTTAAAAAAATTTTTAACCACAGTTGTTTTCTGTATATGTAATTTATTTAATGCCAACTGATAGTTGCACCTTAAACTGAATGATTTCTTTATGGTCACTGAGTCGAAGTAGGATTGATAGGATGAAAATAACTTATTGCTCATTTTGAAAGAACTCTTATTCTGGAGAATCAGTTTCATTAAAATAGTTCCAAAAAGAATAATCTTTTGCCCTATCTAAGAAAAATGGATGGCAACAGCATAAACACCAAGAGATTTATTTTTTTTTTCTTGCACTTTTAACCTGTGGTATTTCTCTTGAGGAAATTGAATTGTTTCAACACAGCACTGGGGAGGAAAAGGGAAGAACTCAGCCATGCTTCAGTGTATTTAAGCTCTTCCCGTTACCTACCGGTGCTCCTGTTGCACAAGTTTGAGGGTAGTTTTCAATTTTTCAGGAAAAATGGGTAACCAAACTGGGATAGTTTTTCTTTTGCACTGGGAAATGAGCATTTAAACACCTGCTCAGAAAAAAAACAAAAACAACAAACCTTAAAATTTTGCAAGTATTAAATAGTTATAACTTATCTACACATCTTTGTAATGAGTGTACACTAATCTTGCAAATCATATGCTTAACTGGATTACATAGTTTCTTATCTTTTGTTAAAAATGTATACTCAGTGGACCAACACAATATTATATGTATATATTATATATATATTCCTGCTTTCCTTTTATGGAATTTAAAGTTTTGAGTCATTTGATGTTACATTTCATGTTACTGACTCTGATTATAGTACTTTTACTCAGACTACCAACAAACCACTGCTGTGAGCTAAATGGCATTACTTTATGAAGTTTTAATTGTTTTTTTTTAAAAAAAAAAAAGAAAAAACTTGTTCAGGTGGGATTAGCCTCTATTTATAGACTTCCCTTTTGTTTAAAAATTCTAACAATAGCCTGTAATTATGAAGAAATAAAGTTTAAGTACATAAATGTCAGCTGTTTGTCTGGTTTTTTCCAAAGGGTGCTGTGAGCTGTAAAGCAACCTATAAATGTAATGCAAACAATATAACGTGTTCCGATTGTAGTCTCATGGGAGCGGGTTAATTTTCAGAGAAGAAAAGCTGCCTTGAATCTTGAGATTATCTGAAGTGCACGCTAATCCCAGCTGTCACTTGCTTCATTAGGAGTTGTGGCAGCTTCAAAGAAAACTCGGGCTACTCTTGTCCCAGGATTTTTGCCTGCACAAGGGTCGCAGAACCCAAATGTTTCAGTATTTATCTGTGAAGATGTATAAGCATCCTCTACTGGCTGCTGGCAACATACAGCATATATGGTTCTTCTAAATGTACCCGTCAGCATAACATCTCCTTTATGTCAACAGCGAGTGCTTGGTTGGAGCTTTAGGAGTTCCAGCAACCATTGACATGTGCCTTTTATCCCTTTGTTTACAGTAGTGCCAGGTTTTAATACACTCATCTAAGGGGACCCAAATCTCTTTGCCTCTTTTATTGAGGCATCAATTGGATTCGGCAGGGTAAGGTTTGCATTACTTTTGTCTGATTCACACACATTCTTGAGGCTATTTGAAACCTTCTGTGGGCTGTCCATTGTTCTCCTTTTAAGTCCCCTGTCATGTTTCCATCTTGGGTGCACTTTGCCCCTGATTACTGTGCATCTTTCAACCCTCTCTCCTAATTGTGTGCAGTTCATTTAACTCATCGTGGAACTGAGGATGGTCGCTAATCATCTAAAATCATTTGATAGCCTCTTTTCACTGTCTTTGTCTTAGCTTCCTATGTGATGAAGTTCTAACTGTCACATAAAAGTTTCATTCATGGAATGCCGTTGCACTCAAAAGATTGAAGAGATTATCTCATGTCTAGCAGATGGGTTGGCCACTTGACAGTTACATTTCCAATACAAGTCATCTGAGGCAACTTAACTAGAAACTGCACTGGAAGAATGCACTGGGGATTAATGTTAAGTCCATTATATCCCAGTGAAGTACTGACAAGGACTCAAATGGCAATAATCATAGAATCATAGAATGGTTAAGGTTGGAAGGGACCCTGTAGGTCATCCAGTTCCAACGCCCCCTGCTGTTGCCAGGGACTTGAAGCTAGAGGACTTGGTGTGATACAAACTTTTCTGCTTAATACTTAAAAGCTGTTGTGTTAGACCCCAATATTGGATTTACCTGTTTCTTCAGTTCATGTGGACTTCCTCGCCATCCTTTGCCACGTGACACACCCTCTGTGTGTCGCCTCTTCGCAGAAATAGTATCCAGCTGTCAGAGCTGTGTCCCTGCTGTTGTTTCCTCACTAACTTCTCAGCAGTTTCATTTAGCAACTTAAATTTGAATAGACTGTTTCAGAACTTGAATATTTAGCAAACTGATAACTTGAGTACTGACATGGTTTAGTTATGCTGTAGCCTGAATCTTTAAAGTGATTTTTGTGCATGGATGTGCAATGTCATGTTTTTGCAATACTGACAGAAGGGTGGGTTTAGATGATAATGTTTCTAGGTAATGCAGAGCATACAGGCTTAATATATATAAGGGTAGAGCTGAAAAAGTAACATAGCTCTTCAAAACATCAGCAGTTAAAGTCATACGTCTTAGCTTTACACACTTCCATATCACATCAGTGAATACTCCTGAATTTAATTCCATTGTTAATTAGAGTGGACATGATGGTTGGCTTTCGGAGGGATCCATGCTTTTATCATAAGAGGAAAGATGATTTGTTTGCCTTGTGCAATTACAAAACAACCAGACTATGTCAAATTACAAGCAGATAATCATCAATTTGTACTGGAAGTCGGCAGTAATTTTCCTAAATTGAAGATCTTTCTTGATGCAAGTTTGAGATTTACCCTTTTGGTAGGTAGAGTGGAGCTTTAGTTCCCTGTATGAGTGTTACTGAACTCTTGAACTCTCTTTAGAAATCACTTGTCTTCCTGGTTGGCAGCAAGATGTAGATGTTAGAATTTAAAGGCAGGAGAGGAGGGGGAGCAAAACAAATCTCTTGGCAGGTGACAAGCCATCAAGTCCAGGTCAGTAATACCCTGAAACAGAAGTAATTTTCACCCACAATCTATCTAAAGAAATGTGAATAACAAAAAATAGACAAATAATACCAGCTGCATTGCCATTCCTTGCCCATAGTACTTAAGAATTGGTGTTGTGCTAAACTGAGAGATCTAGAGCTGCTGGTACCTTAAACAAACAAAAAAAAAGAAATAGTTTTTAAAGCAGGTGATCAGGCAGGTAGCTGATAGAGGGGAAAAATGCTGCATTGTTTGGATGTGTATTTAAGACGTCAGGATGTTGTTTCTAGATATCTCTTGCTGGTTTATGAAATGCTTCTTAATGCTCACTTGTTTCCTGTTTTCTAAATGACATTGGACCTGATTGCATATTACGTAACTGCTGTAATTTGGAAAGAATCTTCTGCAGACTAAAAGGAATTTTATCCTGTTTCACTTGTGTGTATCCTGTAGGTAGATGTTCTCAGTATGAGCAGCCAGTTGTGCTCCAGGATGATGCAAATAAGTAGAAATAGATAAGAATTTGACAGAAGCGCTGCTTCAAACAAAATATTTTCTTGAAGATTTAGTTTGCTGATAATACAGGATGAAATTCATACCTTTGACTTCAGAGGTCTGCCCCAGTTGGTCCTGGCCAGCAAGAGATCCTTGCAAGTGTCTGCAAACTGTCAGGTGTCATGAGTTTCTATCTGACAGTGCCCAAGTCAATAAAAGGATTCATCCTGATCCAGTTAGACTGATTTTCCTATGTGGACAGATTAAATATTTATTCTGTTGAACTATGTAGCATTGAGCTGCTTATATTCAAAGCCAAAGGGTCTTCAGGATTGTTTTCCACAGAATGCAGTCTATCTTGAGATGTTACCTGAACAGGTGTGGTTGCTGATACAGAAAACAACTAATTTTGAAAGGCCCAATGGATTTTTAGGTAAAATCCTTCTTGTAGAATTTTTTTTAAATACACATCTGAAGCCTTATTCTCAAATTTTCTTCTGTAATATAGACTATGATCTTTGAGTTCTAAACCGTTCTGAGTAGTTTGAAGTATGAATCCCTTTTTGGGCCCACATCCAGTAGTAACTTTTACTGAGTAACTACCTCAGTTGAGGTGCAAACCAGTGGCCCAGAATCCTGAAAACTACATAAAAATACTAGTTCAGTGTTAGTCTCGTAGATTTAAATTATCTAATTTTCTTTAATATGCTACCAATTTATCTTAACTTATTTTACTGTTGGATGTTAAAAGCATAACTGTTTCATTTATGAACATACAATAATACGCACAGGAGAATAACTAATTTGAACTGCAGTTAAGCTAATGTTGCAAATTTGGCCCTTCTGGTTTAGCTTTTTCAACTGTGCCCCTAAACCACAGAATTCCTAAAAGCTGTAAAAAGCAATTTAGAGTAAATTCCTGCATATAAATATAAATGTTCTTTAGGCTAAATGACTGGCTACTGAAAAGAGGTTGTATCAAAAGTGCAGAACTACAGGGGAAGTCTCTCTTCATTCGAAAGCTGTGCGCCGGCATGTACGAGCTTCACAAATCAAAAAGCTAAATGTATGTAACAGGTATTTTATGCTGAAAAACGTGGGCCTGCATTGGTGCCAAAATAACTCTGTGAAGGTGCTCGTCACCACTCTTTACGACATTCCTCACTGGTCTCAGATGCCTGATTTAGCTAAGACAATAATGAATTTTTTGCGTGTTGTCAGGCTGAAGAATCGTGCTCAGACCCATCAGCCGTGCTCTCCTCAGCCGCCCTGGCTTCTCTTGCCGCAGCTGCACCGAGCTCCGAGTGTGGGGCAGACCTGCCGCCCACCTCTCTTTTCCACATCACGAACCGCAT